CAGAAGCATTCGTTGAAAAATATTCGAAGGAGGATAACTGAAGAACCGATTGACGGATCATCATGATTTTTGGTATGTGGGTACCTTAAAGAATGCTTGACATATGAAAATGATAGTTATGCAAATCACACGACAACCACACGACGGTGGGCCACTAGGGACATTGTGTGTTCTGTCAGCTTTGATGGGGTTTGAGACATGTGGTCAATAAGTGCTTTTGAATTATCACCAGAATAACCACAGGTAAAATCATTTTTTTTATGTCCGAAAAAAGGTATCCAACTGCATAGACCCACTCCCTTGTTTCACCTTTTAAGCGTATGAGACTTATATATGTCCGATGAATGGGAACGTCAGAACCATTATTAAGACTTGCATCAAATAGGGACGTCAGAACCAGTATTAAAACGTGCAAAGAAGAGGAGTAAAGAAGATGTGCGAAGGCCGGGTGTTACATGTAGCTCAGTGTGTACGGGGTAAGACTGGCAGTGACGCTATGCACATTGTGCATGAATGGGAATCATGGTTGACAGCCTTGTTTTTTCGTCACGCACGAAAGGAGGATTACTTAGTATAGCAGAAAGCATTCCCAAACAATAAAAAGGTAAACATGACCATGGTAGGCTTTGAGTCGATCATCTACTAATTACTTTATCACCAAGAAGACGACAGGAAAAATCAAATTGGAGTGACACCTGTTCCGGAATCCCCGTAAAATAACTCGGGAATGCTGCTTAAGAGCCTTTCCTAAGCCATCTATCCAGGCTGTTCCTCGGAGCTCAGGGTCTACCTCTGGGGGGAGGGGGCGGGGGTCTGCGGTAGCATTTCCCTGGGGTATATTGACAATGGAGCCGATTGGTGGCCTGTACAGGCCCTGGAAATATTCTGGCATCAGGGCTACATTTTGGTTGCAGTTTTCCATCTAGTTCTCAAGAAGTACAGTCATGCCCCATTCCTCCTGACGGCGCTCTCGCGGTGATCTCTCTGTGACCTGAGATTGACCAGAGCGCGGAGAGAGCGCCGAACTACAAGAAAAATGTGCTCAAGTGGAATCTCTCCGTCGACCTCTCTGCGCTCTCTGTGCGACCAAAAACACAAATGTCAGCACCTTTCATGGGCGACCAAAGATTTCGCAGATCACTCAACGTGTTAGGGAAATAAAGAACGGATTTCGTTACGTTCTGTGCGCTTTCTTGTTTTTGAAGTCATTTTTGTACACCCTGCATCACATTCAAAATTCTAAAACCAAGGGTGTAATATCCCCATTCCACTAGGACGGCGCTCTCGCCGCGCTCTCTCTGTGACCTTAAATTGGTCCGAGCGCGGGAAGAGCGCCGAGGTCGCCATGTTTTGAATCTAAATTATTGTTGGGGCTGCTGTTCGCTCTGATAGCGCTCTCTCCACGCTCATGGCTGGATCGCCGTCCTCGGAGTTCTCACGGCGACGGTATGAACCTGTTCAAAATTGTCGCCGAGGTGACCGCGCTCATTGCGCTCTCATGACACAACATTGTTGTGCAAAGAACCTTGAACAGGAATCATGGTTGACAGCTTTGTTTTTCGTAATGCTCAAGGGTTTTAAATGGTACCTGTAAGTGGTCTGTGTGCAAAGCAGTTTTCCCACGTCCCTCTCCAAAACAATTCCAGGGTGACTGTCGAAAGACACGACGACCGGTCACTGGAGGTCATTGTTAGTTTTGTAGGCTTTGGCTGTCTACAAGTGCTTTATCACCAGGATAACAACAGGAAAATCATATTCGTATGTCCCAAAAAAGGTTATCCAGCTGCCTAGACCCACTCTTCTGTTTCACCTTTTGACTGTAGGAGACTTATATATGTCCGATAAATAGGAACCATTATAAAAGGGATTAAATAGGGACGCCCGAACCGGTATTAAATGTGGATAGAAGATGTGTAAAGAATATGTGCAAAGTTCTGTGTAATATAACCAGCTGCTACCACACTGCGTGCCTGCGAAGCTAGTGTGTCCACACTGCTAATAAGGGTGGCTGTACTGGCTATGTATATATATATATATATCAGCTAGCTGCAGATACAGATAAACGGTACAGGCCCTGGGTGACACTTCATTGTTGTGCAGGGAACCTGGACCGTCAAACAGCCTTGTTTTTTTTTTTCAGCCTTGTTTTCTAAGCAATTTCAGGTGAACTTCATCCTGTGTGCGTGACGTACGAAAGACACGACGGTCGGTTACTAGGAACTTCGTGCGTTCTGTCAGCTTCGGCAAAAGCTTTGATTGAGACATACATGTATGGTGCGTTCTCTTGGTTACCAGGTGTAAAAGTGCTTTATCTTTGTTACCATAGGTAACATATGCTTCGTGTCCGAATAAAGGTTAGCCAGCTACCGAAACGTACACATGTCAAGTGTAACAGGAATTTTAGTGTAATCTAACTAGCTGATCTTGAACTCAAGGGGGCGTTAGGTGTTACAGAGTTATTTATAAAGCTGACTTCATACCTTTATTGCTAGGCAACGATTGACGTCGGTTGTAGGTGCATCTTTGATCCGCCAATCAGCTAAGTTTTACCCACATAATTGAGGCATCTCCAAAAGTTGAAAACGTCTTGCTCTCGCCGAAGCCCCGCACTTCTTCGGGCGGCACAGCTGCAGTAGGAGTCCACACCAGAACCACCGACACTTTCAGGGCTACTCTCAACCCGTCTCCTGTTCACAGAGCGACATCTTGGTATCCACTCTGACAAGAGCAAAGACAGGTAAGACTGTATATGACCTTGTTGACTTGTAACTTCCATGGGCACAAATGTTCTCGTTTTGATACTTTTAAAAAGACATAAAACTACTTAAAAGATTGTTTAACTGTCCGAAATGCCCCACTGTGTGTCATATTTGCCAACGCTTTTAACAGGTGCGCATGCACCATCATAACAAACTGATGCACTAGCACCGTATAGTCAAATGCACTTGGGACGGTAGTAGTTGCTAATGGGCCGAGTATATGTACTGAACGTGGAACCACTTGCACCGTATAGACACGCACTTGGTACGGGCTGAGCGCCGATCGGCTAGGGCGGGTGTGCCGGTAACACCGATACTGAAACTGAAAGTGGAACTATAGCACGTAGACAAAGTGGTAGGAGAACAACATTCGGACTGGGAAACCTAAGCGTGAAATAAGGCTTCGCTTTCAAAAAAGGCAAAAATAATTTGCCGTCCAAGAAGTTGTAGACTTAGACTGGCCTGTTTTGTGGGTATACCTAAGGCCCGCCAAAACTTCCTCGACGGTAAAATCGTCCCTCCGCGGGATAACGCCCGTCGCTCGCCGCAAAAAAAAATAACGCCGCGCCCTACAATTCTGCGGAGGAGGCCAAGAGAAGGGTGGGCTGAAAAAAAACGTGTCAGAAAGTGTCAAGTTTTCCACGCAGCATCTGTTTAACACGTGTCGTTGGGTAGCGTTTTCCTCGACACACGGCTTAAGGATACTTCGCTATATAATTTTGATGAATCCCACTTGATGAATTCTTTGATGAATTCTGTACACATACCGACATTGTCACCCCCCAAAATCCTACGAAACTCGTCTTCAGACACGACAGGGGCATAATCAGATAATACTGGCGTATGGCACTGTTAGAATTTACGAAAAAAAAATTCTCAAGTCCTCAGTCACCCTTCCTGACCATTTTAAGTAGCTTGGGTAACACCTGGAGTTCGATATGCAAGGCTTCGCACAAAAGCAGGTTTTACCAAAAGCAATAAATTCCAGTTAGGTCAGCTCGGTCATGTCAGCATAAACAATAGCGATATATGCCAGATACGTGTGATAATCCTTTCCTGAAGCATCAAATTCCAACAGAGTGAGATCAGGACAAGTGACTACATCTGGGCGGGGCTTTGGCACCCGTCGGTTGCCCAACCAGTTTGTCAACTGCGGCAAAAGAACAACTCTTAAAGGACAAATTTATGGCTACTGGAGCAAAGGCCGTCTGCAAGAATAACTTAATGAGCAATTAAGTAAACAGAGCCCCCATTATCAACAGGAGTACTAAAGTCCAGAAGGGAGTGCTATTTTTTCACTAGATTAAGCTGCAATAAATACATAACTAGTCAACTTTTTACATAATTACGCGTGTGCGGCTTGCGCGGCGCATGTTTGTAAAGCGATACCAAAATCTTTTTCCTCCATGCTGAACTACAACCGATACATCCGGGAACTTTGGATTACGCCATGCTCATACACTTCTAGTCAACATAAACATTTTCGTCGAAAAGGATAGGGAAAAAAACACTCCAATAAGCTGATTATTGAAAACTTACTTGCTTTACTTTGCTCGACCTCTAGCTTGGATACTAGGATGTCAGGATGTCTAATACAGTGAGCTGCCAGTTTCATCCTGCGTGTTTTGATTTTCTGAATTTATTTGCATGTAAATATTAATTGAACAGATAATTAGATTACGCCGTTTTTTCATCAATAGTATAAATGAGGGACGATAAGTAACACTAATAAAGCTTCGGGGATGTAGCCCCGGCCGGCCCCAGGAGCCGGGCAGGCATCGGCTGTCGTGGTCACAATTAAAAGTTTCCTTCAGTAGCATTTTGTTAAAAATTTTGTCACCCTCTTTGGCAGATTCTCTGACGATGTCTATATATATCTTGTATTGACCTATACGTAATGCAGAATTCACGCTTTTGTTGTGATCCTTTGATCTGTGACGTCACACATTTTATCCGGGTTTACGAAGTACACACCTTTATTCTGTTCATCTGGTCTGTGACGTATCAAATGTGACGGGGTGGACTGCAAGCAACCGGAGGGGTACCTCTTGGTGTTCTCACGATGAGGTCACGGCGTCCTTTTGTCAGCGGGGCCCGGGGAGAATTTGTCAGAATTCAATTCTTCTCGGGTCCAGGACGGGCCCAAAAATAGCCCGGTAGCCGCAGGGTGTCCCGCGGGGCCACGTACGGGTCACGCCCGAAAGTGCCAAAAAAACAGCCCGGAGACTACCCGGCAAGGCCTTTTTTTTCAATTGGGACCGAAGCAATGGCTGGTAAGATATCAAAGACCACAAAACAGTTGGATTTTTTCTTATCGCCCCCGAAATTAGGTCTGTAACGTAACTTTCTTGGTCAAGACATAGGCACCAATGGGGTAGCACAGTGCATTCTGGGATAGTTTAGAGGTTACTAGTATTTAGGGAGTTTTTCCTGGATTCGTTGCGTCTTAAGACTTGCGCGCATAATGGTCATCTTATTGTAAACTGTAAAGTACATATAAAATGCATTTTTCACTTCCTAAAATTAATGTCTGTCGGAATATAGCACTCCCTTTTGGACTTTAGTACTCCTTTAGGTAACCCTAGCTATGTAGGCTACAAGCTATACAGCGATGTATGATGTTCGATATTTCATTCCGTAGGTAACAATGGGCTACAAGCTGGCGATGCTCCTGGGTCTGACCGGCCTCCTGATGATGCTGATGGTGGACCAGGCAGACTCGGCCTGTTGCCGTGCTACGATTAGATCATGCAGCGGATGGTTCTGGAACAGGAGGTGCACAGGAAGGTGTCGCGATGGCACTGGGGTATGCTATTGTTGTAAGGCTTTGTTTCAAAACCAGAAACCTCCCTTGATGTCACGTGTCTGTGATTAGTCATGTGCACCTGATTGCAATAAGTACAAGTTAACAATGGAAGGGAATTCGTTGTTGCGTTGGTTTAGCTGTTGAGTTCAGTTGGTAACCAAAATGGTGACGAGTGTCCATGCTAGTCTTTATTCATTGGTCAGACGGATAGAAAATGTTTTTGTGTTACAAGAGAACAGGTGAAAACTAATGCATCTCAACACTTAGGGAACGCCCTACTGCGGACGCGGGCCCTGCAACTGGTTTGGATGTAACTGCAATGGGGGCTGCAGGGGCACAAAGAGGTACGTTAAAATTAACATTAGTCCGGAAACCATCCTCTGAGCAGTACCGTTATGTAGATAACCTATGACCTGCCTTGTGATTCCCGTTGGCAAGAGCAAGGACCCAGGCACCAGTTTTTTTACAGTCTGTACTGCTTTCTTGGACTTTGCAAGACTGTAATTTCTGATCCGAATCATTTTCTTACATGTCTTTATACCGTGTTCTCAAGGTCCGTGGAAGATCCCGGGGAAGCCCGCAGCCTTCTGGAGTTGCTGGGAGGAGAGAGCGCCATGTCCGGCCGCGGGTTTGAAGACGATGCCGACGCAAAGCTTAAGGGGTAGGCTAACATATCTTTATTGTATACATGTACAAATGTAGCTTCTACAAAATTCTAGGATAAAGGGTGATTCTGTACGAAGATGCACCTTGATCTTAGGCAATATAAACGTACCTAATTAATCTTTGAAAATCTTTATCAACCAACATCACAGACTTACAAAGTCTAAATAAAGTCGGACAGGACAAATTAAAATTCAGGTACAAAATAAAACTCTATAGACCGATTCGAGGACATACAACTTTGTAAACATGCAAGAAAGAGCTATGACATTAATTTGAAACACGAAACAGTTTATGGACGGTCCATGGTCACTTGTTCATTAGGTTTGGGAGGGGGGTAAGAGATCAATCATAAGCCTTTATTGTTCACAGGGTGGCTGAGGAAGCCCGCGACCTCCTTGAGCTGCTGCGCGGGGAACAGGAGAACATCTATCGGGAGGACAACGCCATGCCCCTCCGCGAGTTCGGACACCACGACGCGAACGAGGACATGAAGCTGTCCAAGGAGGAGGCTCTGATGATGCTGAAGGAGAAGGGGGAAGTGGACATCAACAATCTCCCCGATGATTGGTTCGAGTCCATGGACAAGGACGGCGACGGGTACATCGAGCCTGAGGAGTACGACAGCGACATGGCCAAAGGCAGACCCCCGGCGGAGTAGTCCCCGGAGGTAAGAAACATCTGCAGTAGACTTCCTCAGGAGGTAGAAATATCTTTGGCATGACAGTAGGCCCTTCACTTTCACCAAGCTGGTGGCAGGGCTTGTCACAGGGCCTTCTCTCCTCTATCCATCCAACCAACCAACCAACCAACCAACCAACCAACCAACCAACCAACCAACCAACCAACCAACCAACCAACCATGCCATCTATCCATTTTTTCCAGTAGCAGAAACAAAAAAGGAGCATATTCATATTGCAGATCACTTCACTCACATTTTACCGTATGATTTTCGTCTCTCAACAGGACCCCGGAATGGCGATGGTCCCACCGCATCCTGCGTGTGCCGAGCACCATCCTGGCCTTCCAGCCGTGACTGCAGATCAGCCGCATAGATTTTAGCTGCTTTTGCCTCATTTAACCATGACAAGGCTCGTGAGTGGATATCACATTTCAAAATAACAAAGATCATCACCATCTTCCTGACTGGGTCTATGCCAAATTTGAATATAGACGTCCTGTGGACATACATGTATGTCCATAGCATAGGCACTCCCATACAAATTGCCAGGTCATTTAGGTATACAGCCTGGGAACAGTAGGCCAAAATAGACTGACACTGACAAAAAAGACATCAAAAATACATTCTAAAGACAGATATGAAGAAAAATGAACAAGAAAACTCTACCTTCATGACAAATTCCAAGTCAAAATGCATATGACAAATTGAACCCAATTGACTAACTGGCAGGTGAAGAAACACGTACGACATAAATTAATACATTTCCCTCCCACACCTATGAGATGGAGTGAAATATATAATCACATTTTAAGCCAATGGGGGATCAGAAGTCTTTCACGTACCAAAATGAGAAAAAGTTTTCTTTGCCAATGTGTTAGGGTTACAATAATGATCATTACCATTGTTTGGCAAATAGCACAGTGTTGCTATAATTAATTCTAAATTCTGCTATGAAACCGTTGCATCAGCAACAAAGAAATCACAGATCAATTAACCTTCAAGGTTTCAACTGATTTTGATATCCGCCACTGAGCCTATTTAGTAAACAAAAGGGCTCCTACAGCTTTCTCTAGAAATTTCAATAATCATCGTTTCATCATTTTCTAACTAGTTCTGAAGCTCTGACTTGAACCTGAAAAACTACTGTCTGAAACTGAAAAAACCTACCATTCTAATTCATCTACCTACGTAGTAAAATCTTACCGTCCAGAAGTTAGTGGTAACTTGAATGAAACCTTAAAAATGATCTTTGACTTCTTTTTCACTTTTTTTGATAGTAGGAGCCCATAGATCAGCTCTTGCCGCTCTATGTAACCAAGAATTCTTGCAGTAAAATAAAACAAAATGCATGATGCAATGTGTTGTCGTTAAGTCATTTTTTACACATGCACAAACTAGGCATAAGGGAGTATATATTTCATACAGGGTAGAAAGATGGAGAATGGCTGTTAGCCAATCCCATAGAGCTGGACAGAGCTAACCAAGCCCAAGAGTCATATCTGAAAATGATTCGGTTGTTGTGAGGGTCTTTTAAAAAAGAAAGGAAACAAGAGGAACTAATAGGTCCCGTGTTCGAATATTTAACATTTCACCAATTGGTGGTGGCATAGAAATAAAGTTGAGTGTGCCGTCACCATGTTTTGTGTAAAATATTGAAATTAAAAGGAGGGAAAGGCTGCTAGTTCTGTATAGGGCCAGCTAATTCCCTAGGACTACAATTCCTCCAGTAGCGGTAATTTAGATCGGTGGGCGTATGTACGTACAGCCTTGGGTCACCGAAGCAAGGGAACTAGCTAATGGCCAGTCCTATCCCAGGATAGGAAGCTCCTATATACTGTACCGAAGAGGGATCCCCCAATTCTGGATATCTAACTCCAACCCTGCAAAACTTCCCGCCGTATCCTATAGTTGAGCCGGGCACGACCAATCCATGAGACTGGTGATCTGAATAAAACTCCTAACTTGTGCAATAGTTGAGCCGGGCAGCTGGGAGCTAATCTCCAAACAGATCCCAGGGTGGCAAAAGACAGTATCAAATTGGCCAGGCAGTATCCATTGGCCAGAGAGAGTCCAGTATGCCATGCAAGTGGACCGTATTGGACCCTCTCTGACCTATGGATACTGAGTGGCCAATTTGATACTGTCTTACGCCACCCTGGGATCTGCTTGGAGATCAGCATTGAGCTCCTACTGTCCAAAACATAGCCCACCCAATCCATCAGAGATTGCATACAGGGTTATTGGACTGTGAGAAAACTATGATACAACTTACCGGTACTAATGTACTACTAGTACCTGTAATCATTGGTCTTAACTTGCACGTTGCTGCATAAAGTCAACTTTATGTCTGCACCAGTGGAAGAGCAGCTCAACTGTTCATCAAGGTATTTGGAGCTAAAAACTAACTGGTTTAAGAAGAATTTAATCGTCTAATCCATGGTAACCATTCTGCAGAGTATAATAATACTTTTTTAGGAACTAATTGTTGGTTGTAGCTTGCTTTCTTTGCTGTTGCAAAGTGTACAAAATGTATTAGAATGGGTGCTAATCGTTGGCCGTAGCCTGAACATTGCTGGTTAAGTCAGAGTCCTCCTCTCCACACGAGACTTTCTGGTACTCCTTCCTCGCCTTCATGTTGACCCTCGCCAGCACGGCGCCCAGCTGCCCGCCCGGCCCGACCTCGTACGTGTCGGGAAACGCCTGTCCCTGGGCGCGCTCGTACAGCGTGTGCATGAGCTGCTCCCACTTCACCGGCGAGGCTACCTGCTCGGTGAGCAGTCGACGCATCTGGTGGGGGTTCTGGTACGACGATGTGTCCACGTTAGAGTGGACGTTGATGACAGGAACTTCAATATCTACCTCCTGGAAGAAGGAGAGGAATATATTTTAATATTTGTTGTTTGGGGGGAGGAACCTTTTTTTGTGCTGGTATTTAAAGAGGAGGTGTCCACGCTAGAGTGAACCTTAATGACTGGAACATCCAAGTCTACCTCCTGATGTAGGAGAGAAAAAAAATGTCAATATTAGACATTTGGGGGGAGGAAACTATTTTTTGTTTCTGGTAAGAGGAATTGTCCACATTGGAGTGGACGTTGATGACAGGAACTTCAATATCTACCTCCTGGAAGAAGGAGAAGAAAATATTTTAGTATTTGGTGTTTGGCGGGAGGAAACTTTACCTTCTTTTTGTTTCTGGCAAGAGGGAATGTCCACGTTAGAGTGAACATTGATAACTACGAGAGAGTGGACGTTGATGATTGGAACATCCAGGTCTACCTCCTAGGAGTGGGAGAGAAGGGGACATTTGATTAGCCTTCTTTGTGAGATCACAAGTTACTGTAATTTTTCTTGGCTACCAATGGTGTGAGTATACATGTTGCACTGTTGAAAGTCTACCCAGAGCTATGGAGGATAGGAAAGGTTGGAGGAAGTCAGTTTTGAGCATCACCATGAAACCATCACAACATCATGACAATGTTGGTTGCCCCAATGCCTGGAGATAGGTAAGTTCCTCTTTTTAACTAGCCTCTATTGAGAGACAATGTTGATTTAGGGCACAGTAGAAAAGAAGAAAATCCACACCACTTTATTTTATTACTTCCAAGATTTGTAATAGTAGTAGTAGTAGCAGTAAGCCTTTATTTAAACTTGAATGCTTGTTCGGTACGTACATATGACCGCTTTTCAACAAGGTGGAGGGTGATGGCACGGTCACGGATTACAAATCAAACCAAAAAGACATAATAATGCTAAAATAATGAAGAATAATGCTAAACTGAATAATGTAGAATAATGCTAAACTGAAAACAGTGAATGTATGGTTCCCACCTGTAAGGCCTTGTATATATATATACCAGTAGCCGGGAATGGTGATTGAAGGCATATCAGGTACTCCAGAGAAAAGCCACACCAATTTAATAATTTGTTGGTTCTCAGACTTGTAGAATAATGCTTGACTGAAAACAGTGAATCTACAGTACACCATGGTTCCCACCTGTAAGGCCTTGTATGTAGCATCCTGTGCAGACAACATGAGTGCCGTGTGGAAGGCTCCGCTGACCGGTACCGGCTTCATCCGCGCCAGGCCGTACTTCTTCCCATGTTTCCTGATGTAGGACAGACACTAGACACCGACAAAATCGAAGGGAGGAAGAATTTTATTTGATGTAGTCCACAGATTTTCACTACTCTCCACAAGACTCTGTTGCAGGCTGAATGAATGGTAGAAATTGGCCTAAAAAGAATGTAGCTGACCAGGGGAGTTGGATCTATGCAGGCAAACTGTCGGCCAACTCCCCTTGCCAGCTACATTCTTTTTAGGCCGATTTCTACTATCTATTCAGCCTGCAAAGGAGTCTGGTGGAGACTAGATTTTCCACCACTATGACCACGACATATTATTTTCAAAGCTTGAGAGTTTTTTTTATTGATTTAATAGATATTCAAATGAAGACAGATGTACCTTAAACTATGACTTAAAAAGTTTAAGGTTGTACCCATTTGGGAAGTATTCACAAGGAAGCTTGATAGTGTCTATGGTTTAAGAGAGATTTTATGGTATAAGAGAGAGCCTATATAGTATACCTCCTTGTTTCCCCCTATCACCCTGGACTGTGGGTACAGGTAGTTGGCTATGCTGCACACGGGTTCCTCCATGTTATAGGGGGGCTGGCACACCAAAATTTCATATTCTTTCTTGCCTAATGAGCCAGTTATCATTGGACATGGCTCATTCAAACCACTTACAAGCTTTCGGTTACATGAGGGTTACAGATGTATGTTTACCTTAGACTTAAAAAGTTTAAAGTTGTACTCATTTGGGAAGCATTCACAAGGAAGCTTGCTAGTGTCTATGGTATAAGAGAGAGCCTATACCTCCTTGTTTCCCCCTATCACCCTGGCCTGTGGGTACAGGTAGTTGGCTATGCTGCACACAGGGTCCTCCATGTTGTGTATTTCCTTACAGTAGATCCTGGCATCGTGGCAGAGCTGCGGGAACCTGGTCTGCGGTCGGCCCAACACAGACAACATCCCGCTGGGAACTTCCTCTGATGCCCTCTGCATGGCCTCAGCTCTCTCCTTCACTACATATAGAGCTGAGGGGAAACCAGGAACATGACTTATATGTTTGAAGCCTTTATATCACAATTACAGGTATTATATACCAACAAAATGCCTTACTTTACATTTCTACATTCTTCTGATTCAGGAAAATGTAGAAAGGTTCTTATGCTCTTTGATGTTCATGGCCTCTGCTCTCTCCTTCACTACATACAGAGCTGGGGGAAACCATGCACAAGTCATCCTGATGTTCAAGCCTTTTTATATCACAGCTTAACATGTATTATGTACCAACAAAATAATACTTCTGACTCTCTCTGCATGGCCTCGGCTCTCTCCTTTACTACATACAGAGCTGGGGAAAGAAAGAGTTGTTATTTTCCGAGATTCCCTTCTTCTTCCTTAAAACCCATTCAATGTTTCTACCTTTTGTTAATCTGCTCTTGTAAGTTGTACGCATGCATAAGGGCCAGGGGCCTTAATTAAAGAAGAGATTGACGATTTATCCATTCTTTAAAGGGAAAAGATAAATTGGTAGTGACACTCACTCACTCACTGCACGGCTTAACGTCCGTTGTTCCCCGTCATGCAAGGGTTGGACGTCGTGGGGTGTCGTTTAGGTCTAATAGCTGCTCTCCAGCTGCTTCTGTCTAGCGGGTTGGCCTTCTGCAGTTTCAAGCTTTTGATGACCTCAATAGATAAGGTTCTTAAGAATATCTAACCCACCTTCTTCAAACGATAATGCCCCAGAGAAGACCAGCGCTGCATACTCTCCCACACTGAAGCCTGCAGCAGCTACACAGGTCTCCACAGCCTACACAGGACACAAGGACAAGTAAAGGTGTACAAATGTATTGAGACCCAATCAAGAATGTCTTGAACACCTGAATATCTGAAGTGTGCATACCACTGGATCCATGATGTTGCATTTAGTAGATTAGTAAATCTCTTTAAACAAAGGAGATTAAAAAAGAGACCTGCTTTCTAGTATGATCCATACTGAGTAATGCAGGAAAAACATGTCTGGTGAAGGTAATTTTCAGTGCAGGTACTAGTACTAGTAGGCTGAAAAAAGTATTTTGTAGCTTGGTTACCAGACCTATTATAGCTCCCGAGTCCTATTTCCTCTCTCTCTCAGACTATATATCCAGAGAGGATGTAGGACTCAGGAGATATACTAGGTCTGGTAACCAGGCTGGTATTTTGAGCCCAGACCTACCGCGGGGTTTTCCTCTCTCAGTCTTTCCACAGCAGCGAGTGACATGAGGAAAACTGCAAGTTGATAGGTGATTTGCCTACTGCTAATCTGTTTTTACCTTCAAATGATTTTCATGTACATGATGTAAACAAAAATAGCAATTTCTGCAGCTGGTATTGCAGGGAGGGCATTTTAAGCCCTGCTTGTATAACCTACCCTCTACCTGGCTTCAGAAAGCATCTTGAAAAAAACCTGGGTGCGGCAAACCCGGTACTCTCTAGCAGACCAACTCCCTCAGCATATTATCTGTCTATATTTGGCCAATTTTTACTCTTTCCAGCCACCTCCTGAAGCCTGGTATAGGCTATGTATGTAACCCTACCCTACAGTGAACCTCCTACCGTGGGGTTTTCGTGTCTCAGTCTTGTTCAGCTCCTCCAGCGGCCCTAGCCCTAGCCCTAACCCAAGCCCTAGCTACCCTGGAAGCCAGAGTACATGGCTGGTTTCTCCTTGGCTCGCCAAACAACTTTCCCTGCGAAGCTCAATCCAGCAGGCCAAGGAGTTTAGCGCACCGAGGAAAAACGCGCCATGACCCGCTGTACTATGGCTTCCAGGGTAAGCCTTAGCCCTAACCTTCACCCTAACCCTAACCTTTGCTAGGAGAGAATATTTTGAGCCCTGCAGCTGATTGTATAGCCTACACAGTGAACCTCCTACCGTGGGGTTTTCGTGTCTCAGTCTCTCCACAGCGGCGAGCGATGTGAGGAAAACCGCCGGCTGGCAGTGGACCGTTTTGTTCAGCTCCTCCAGCGGCCCTAACCCAAGCCCTAGCTACCCTGGAAGCCAGAGTACAGCGGGCCGTGGCCGGTTTCACCTCGGCTCGCCAAACAACTTTCCCCACGAAACACGATCCAGCCGACAAGGGAGTTTAGCGCACCGAGGAGAAACTGGCCACAACCCGCTGTACTCTGGCTTCTCTGGTAAGCCCTAGCCCTAGCCTAGCAGTAGCCCTAACCTCCAACCAACCCTAAACTTTGCTTGGAGAGTATATTTTGAGCCCTGATTGTATGGCCTATACAGTGAACCTCCTACCGTGGGGTTCTCATGTCTCAGTTTCTCCACAGCGGCGAGCGATGTGAGGAAGACTGCCGGCTGACAGTGGACTGTCTTGTTCAGCTCCTCCAGCGGCCCGTTCACACACAGCTGCAGGATGTCGTAACCAAGGATATCCCTCGCCCGCGCGAAAATGTCCTCCACGTTCGGATAACCCAGCAAGCTTCGCGCCATGCCCACAAACTGTGCACCCTGTCCCGGGAACAGGAACACTGTGCTCTTACGAGGGTCCTTCTTAACTCGTCTCTTCTGTTCAGTCAGATCTTTCTCTTTTGGTCCTTCTGATTTTTCTGTGACGGCATTGTCTAAAAGCTCTTGTATTGTCTTGCCTTCTAGATTTTGGGGAAGTTTAGGCGTGTCTCCTACGTTCTCTGTAGTTGTTGTTGTTGTTGAGTCTTTGCTATCTTGTGAAAACTTGCACCGTGGAGGAAGAACTGTCAGTGTTGCTGTTGGTGATCTTGAAGTTGAACATTTAAAGGCAGATAGAACCATGTGACAGCTGCCGGCTTTAGAGTAAAATATTCTTCTCAATACGGAAGAAGCCATCTTGAAGTGAGCTGTAAAGTAAAGTACTGTATATCATAAAGATACTCTACTCTACTCTACAAATCTAATTTAGGAGACCTGGATTTAATAAAGCTCCTTGATATATCTTGTGTAACGTTACATACGTTATGTGCAGTGATAAGGTTTGCAAATACTAACTTATTCAGCAAAGTACCAAGATGACAACGTTTTTACGATTTTACAAAGATCTGCGTTGAACGATGGATATATATTCCAAGGATTTCAAGAGTTTGTTTTTGCTCAGCTGATAGGTCTAAAGTAAGGTAAAGTAAACGTTATCGAAAAGTTTCGAGCTGTGGACGACAAAAACTATCTTTCTGAAAGCAGAAAATGTTTTCAAAGAAATTCTACAGCATCTAAGTTCCTACCAAGTGAAGCCCAAGTGAAAAATACCGTGTTCAAGAAGTCCACAATCACTGCAGAGTCTGGAATACGCGAGGGAAAACAGGATTTTCTGGTCGTTCACATGTCCATGGGCGCAGCCATCTTGTTTTCTTCCAACGTTCTCGGTGCATTCTGGGGGATTCCAAGCAGATGTTGGTTGGCATCCACGACTTGTCGCATGCGTGTTTTCTAAACCATTTGATCGTCTTTAAGATGGTAAAACAGAGTACTAAACTGGTCACAGTTGTAGGATAGTCTACACTCACGTTCTTGAACATTTTCATCCCATTTTCCACCCACTAGTCCGTGCTTTTCGCCCGTTTTGCCCAGTAGTCGCCTTCTTCAGTGTGTGCCCCCCTCCCACCCTCGAAATTGCACCATGATACGACGTTTTCTCGTTATTGGGCTGGGTGCCGTTGGGAGCTACGTGGTTTATAGGATTGTAGACAGACTGTACTTCTCTGGAAATGAAGAAGAAGAAGAAACTGAGAAGGAAACTGATGACAAGAAAAAGACATCGCAACCAGTTTGCAACAACGTGGATTCGCATGAACTTGAGGATCTTGCCACAAGCAATTCGCTGTCTTCGAGCCAAGTGGCTTTCCTGTTTGCTCTGCTTCGATCAGAAAACCCCGGAGTCGTGGAAAGAACACTTCGCACCATCAGCAACCTTGCAGCGTTCACCAGCAACCAAAACGTTATGAGGGAATCAGGCCTGCTGAAAGCTGTTGTGGATACTCTACAGCGTTCGGACGATTCCCCGGGTATCCAAGCTTGCTGCTGCCAAGCGCTGTCCAACCTGGCAATGAACATGGCAAATCAAACCGTGGTGCAGTCTTGCTTGCCGTTCGTCGTAAAGAAAATCGTTCGTTCTACTGAAACCGACGCCACCACCTTGCCTAGTCTGAACCTCCTCACAAACATGACTGTTTTGGACGACCACCACCATCACGTGTGTCCCGCTTCGGCAAAACTTCTGCAGCTTTCCGTCAAAGAAGAAGAAGCATCAACGGTGCAGCTACAATCCCTGAAGGTCCTGGTCAACTTGTCGTGCAACCAAACATCCATCGAGACACTGCTACACTCACCTGTACCGCCTCAATTCCTCGCGCTAATACAGTCTACGATAGCTGACATACAGCTTCGCGCCTTGACTTTCGTAGCAAACGTTGTCTCCTTCCAGGACGATGAAGTTCTGTCGAGTGATTTTGCTGCGGACTCTTTGCAGGCATTGCTGTATGGCAGTGGGGGGCGTCGGCGAGATATTTACGCCATGGTGCTCAAGTTAACGAAACATCCAAGTGAAGACATTAGGAAGCAGGCTTCCCGGATTCTGGTGGCAAAGATGCTAGGATATGACAACCAGGACTGATGGAGGTTCTGACATATTACACAATAGACCAGAAAGACCTAAACCTCCTTCACATATGTTGTACAACAGGTTTATAATAGAGACTATTTTGACTGAAAGTAAGAACAGAAAATTGATCCCAAAGTTACAGTGTTTTATTTGAAATGGGCTTAACAAGGGTAGAATATTGACCTCGGTTGAAGCAAAAGTTGACATCAGTCTTTTACAATTCTTCACTAGATGTTGACTTTGTTGGGATCCACATTTAGCATACATTACAGTACACTAGCCATTTTTGAAGAATTGAAAATCTTAATCTTTGTTACATACAAATGTGAAAGTGAGGACACAGAGGTTGACATATGACGGACCAACATTCCAGTCAGGTATGAAGTTCAGATGATATATGCCAAGAATGGCCAACATCTGGCTGAGGCAACAACATCATTCCAATGTTAAATTCTTTGAAATTGATTGCATACTGGCAGACAGCGTCATTTGTTATATACATACATTTATTGTGGTTCGTTCTACTTTTGATAATCAATGATTTATGATAATCAAGGGGATTATGTTGTCATACTGTAGAATACGTTATGCGTAAACAAGTTATGGCACCCAACAAATGTAATATCTTTGAAATGTGTCTCATAGTGCAGAATTACATGTATCAAACCAATAAGGTCAAGTGGCAGTGACTTAGCAAAAAATACAATGCACAAAATACAAGGCACAAAATTGCTTTTTTACCCGTATGTTTTTGCAACACCATAATGCTGCTCATTGTCATTTCGCTCATAAAGTTCTTCAGCAACTTTTACAGCTGATTGTATTGCTTATTCTCACTAGTAGATCTCGGCACAGGATATTTCCTGGTTGGCGTATTCATGTTCATCATACTGATGCAGCATGATGTGATCCTAAAAAGACAACGAGACAAGTTATTAGCCACTTACTGTCTTACATGTAATGAACATTGTGACAAAGAGCAGAGAGTCACTTTGGTTCTACTACAGATAGACATTGGACACTATGTTATAATGTATCTTCAGTCAAAGAAATTACTAAAAGTACCTACTAGGTTCTAGCCAATCCTATATGTCAACAGATATGTAAAGAATGAAAGCTCCTCTGTGTTAGTAAATTCCATAATACTAAAGTTGATTGATTGATTAATTAATTTATTTAATTTAGTTAAACTTTGATCCAGCCACTTTCAATGCACTCCTGATGTCATCACACTTCTGACTTCTGGGCAGTCAGCGAGTGGATCATACATCTGACGGGGGTTGGCGAGATCAACTGAAAATTTATGGTTCCCTTTTGTGTTGGATCAAGGTTTAACTTTCCCATTAAAGCTATATAAAGAATTGTGCCATTAACCTTTTCGTCCATCATCAGCCTGGATAAAGCCACTGAAAGCTCTGAAAAGGGTGGTCTCTCATCAGGTGAATAATGCCAGCAGTTTTCCATGATGAAATAGCTACAGCAAGAAAATAAAGCAACATAAATATTTGAGACCAAGGTATATTTGTTGTAAGACATAAGCTTTCCATGTTGTAAGTCGCTGTGTTTATTTTGGTACCCAAGTGGCCTGATAAATTTTATTGATAACTGTTCGCAATAAGCAAATAAACACAATGCCAAAGCAAGCTACAAGTCAATGCAGCATGGATAAGTTATACTTATAGCTTGATACTGTAAATCATGAAATATTTGCAATGGTTTCCAGGTGACTCCTCACCATGAAGTGTACATCACACTGCAAAAAAGCTCCATCTAGAATTACATTACTACCGTTGGTTCAGACTTAAAACACTACAAACACCTCCTTTCCTCACCCAGTCCCTGCTACCTGAAATCAATTTACAGTAATATCAGGCTTACAAGTCATCAGTGCAGTGAATTGGCTTTTCTAAGATGAGTCCCCTTTGCACCTCCTCCGCTGCCTGCTGGGCTGACATTGTCCAATAGGGCAGGGAGCCTGTGAGTTGCAAACAAAATCATTGTTTTATATGGACATGCCATAGTAGACTCAACAACATCCATTCTAATATGCCAATAAACAGTTGCTCAAGCAACTGGATATGATTTTGGAAACAGACATTTCAGGTAGTATCCACTACCTTTTGTCAGTCTTAAAGATTAATCACTTTGTATATTCTTGATATGCATATTCTGTTCACCCAATCAGCCTAGCCACTGGTTTGGAAGTATGACCTTATCATAATGCAGCATCAGTAATGTCAGAAGCATGCACATTTAAATTCATAAGAAATCCTCCATAAGGCCATCCTTTAATATGGCAGTCTTACTAGTAGGGTACATGTATATGGTAAAATTATGAGAGTTGACATTGTAGTTTAATGATATTAGCCTTTGATGTAGGAAATATTTTCATGAAAATGGATATGTTTTCCACACCTACCTAATGTGACGATTTCGTAAAGCAGCACGCCAAAGGACCACACGTCACTCTTAGTGGTGTATAGCCTTCTTCGAGAAAGTGTTTCCGGAGCCATCCAGCGCAGAGGCAAGGGTGACTGAAGGAAAAGGAAAGTTGTAATGTTTAGTCACATCACAGGTAACGTAAACTTATATTGTATGGCTTTGTATATCTCACTGTCTAGTCAATGTTCTCAATTCATCACATTTGTGCCTGTTAGTGAATCTCAGTATTGCAATGTACATTGTATTAGACATCATGTACATTTTAATTATCTAATATTAAGAAATAAAATGTAAATATATTCCTGCCAAGGAGATTATGTTTGCATCAGTTTTCTAGGTAGCTGTACAATTTTTATATGTATTTTAATCATTTGTAGGTAGACTGGCTTGCCCCTTGCCAGTGCCCAAGCGCTGGCTCATGACAGGGAGGGATGGAGGAAGGCAGTGTGCTCAGCCACTAGGTGCCCCTACGACCACCCCCCGGTCAAGGGACCGGTAAGACGGTAAAGGTGGATGTGAATGAGTATATTTAAGTTCATGATACATGATCATAAGCTCATGTATAAGTGTTAACTTACATCTGTCACTTTTTTGTATTCTGGTCCTTCCCTTGCAAGACCGAAGTCTGATACTTTGCATGTCTTGTTCTCTCCGACCAGAATGTTCCTGGCAGCCAGATCTCTGTGGATGCACTGGAAGTGGAATATTATATCAATGGGTACAAATACTGTCAGGTCAGCATGCTGGTTTACTCATAATCAAGTAGCTCAATTTGCCAACATTCAGTAGAAAAGATTCCAAACTGTGCCACTTTAAAGTTGTATTGGCTGTCTGAATGAGCCAAATTCTCAGAATTTCAATAAAACAAAAAAGAATGAAAGATGACAGTTACCTTCTAAAAGTTCTCAAAGCTGATTTTTTTTAGTTGAGTTATTGTTCAATCCCCCATTTTCAAAAAGTATTTTTATTGTTCTCTGTATTCCAATAATTTGCTATCTCATTGCCATTGTGGTCTATATTTAAACAACATACCTGCATCTTTGCTAGGTAACTCATCCCCTTTGACACTTGCCAGGCGAATGAGATCAGGTCCGAATTCTGCAGGGTCCTGCTCTCCGCGTGTAGGTTTGCGTACGTCACACTGCGTGTAGCGCGGTCCTTTCTCAAGAACGACAACAGATCTCCATTGGGCACGTATTCAACCACCAACATGACTGGATCTGGCGAATGTTGGAAGACCATGATAGGTCAACATTGTCAGAATACTAAGGGCATCCAGTGCCATGTCAGGGTGGCAATGCAAAATATATTCTTAGCACATTTTCATTATAATTTCATTACCATTTAATCCATTCCTTTACTTTTTGATACTACCAATAAATAGCTCATAACCAGTCTGCGATACAACACAAGCAACACTTTTCCATCCATCAGTAGCATCACATTTTTGTCAGATATCAGTATGGTATGGGATAGTGTCAATTCAACTTACCAAATTAAAAGAATGACCAGCAAATTGAAAATCCAACTTTACTGCCCTGGAATCTCTTTGGGTGCCTTTGCTGAGAAACTGAGATTAAAAAATGCTTGTACTTGTGTACAAGTAATTCTTAGGGTGCACCCCAATGTACATCAACATTGAAAGGAATTCACCTGATCTTGTGCAATACCCAAGGAGTGTGACGACATTTGGGTGGATCAGTCTCATCATCATCCTGAGTTCCTTCAACATGTCCTCTCGAACTTCAGGCGAGGCGTGGGCTGATGGATGATATTTATCAAATTGTTAGATTGATTGGAATCGAGAGTTGGCCCACAAGTATGTATCAAGGTCTTTTCTACACACACAAACACACGTACGCACACACACACACGCACACTCTAATACACACGGCTTCATCTGCAGAATGTAATCTGTAGTCTAAATGTTTTCATAATCGAATATGATCATAAATCATGTTTTGTCCAACGTACCTTTCACAGTTTTTACGGCAACAATCATCGACCCTCGGTGGTCGTGGTTAAAGTGTGCTTTAGCCTTGTGCACTTTGCCAAACTGTCCCTGCCCTAGCTCCTCATGGAATTCTATTTGGTCTGCTTCAAACTCCATGTCCCTTTCAGTGGTGGTTGCAACGCTCAGGTCTGACAACGTGACATCGTTTTGACTGTCCCTATTGATATTTTCATATGGCAATGGTACCTGCAACACATCGTGTATTTACTCCATTCAGTTTATTTATGTCATCATTTTCGCTTGAAAAGATAAATTGAATGAGTGCTATGAATGTTAAAAGAAGTACAATGTATGGCGGATTATCAAGCTATGGTCCATTGAAATGCTGATAAATCTGTGATCCGTGTTATACTTTCTAAAATTGAAAAGCGCTGATAGGCAATTAAGTTGTCAATCTTTTCAATTTAACGCATTTTATATTCTACTAATTGTCAACAGAGCTCAATAAGTACGCAACATATTTTAACTTTCTTATGTGTTTGCAGTTGCTATCGTATTCGTACTCATGTGACAGTGTACCTCTGACTGTTCATAGATGTCCACATCTTGCCAGCCCTCTTCGTCGCTATGTTGTTGTCTTTCACTGTTTGTCTCATTTTGGTTTGTACTTGTGTCTTCCTGCTGTATGCAAGATGAAAAAAAAAATTCAAAACAGGTATGATAGACGAAAGAAAAGGTTAAAAAGAATGAACCTCCATCCATGTCTATCTTACCTCATTTCTTTGAGGAATGTTTGTCGATGGTTCAGATACATCCGCACATCTTGGAATGATTCCATTTGCAGTTCTATTCAGTGGTTGAATGACGTCCATGTCCACCTCACGTTGCCCATCATCCATTGTCTTTCTGAACTGTGTACGAAAAATGCATGTAGGACTGATGAAATACTTTAACAGGGCAATGCCAAAAACATGGCTCTAAATTCAAGAACATTTATGTCAAATGTGATATGGAAATGTTTTGTATATGCAACAACGTGAAACCTTAACCCTCATGATTCAGCCAGGTACCCTTCAAGACTGTCACATAGAAAAAACAGAATTGATAAAGTTCATTATACGTCCTTACCAAAGGCCAATATCTCTTCATGAAGTATGCCAGGACAAAGCAAACTGCACAGGCACTACATCCCAGACCAACTAGAAGGAGCAGCGTTGAGCTGGTATTTCCTGTTTGGAAAGCAACATCATGATAAGAGAACTGTGAATTCCTGATCTTAGCAACGATGGTGATAATCTAAAAGCAGATCTAATGAGCTCATTGAGCTTAGGTTCTTATATGTGCTTGGAGCCCAAATAAGTATAACAGGAAGGAAATGCAACCAGCAGGAATAGACAGACTCGGTTAAAGAAAAAAGAAGGGACAAGTGTGCTCAGTCATGTAACTGCCTCATAAGGGTGGTTTCCGGCACTGCAGTTTGAATGTAACACTTACCCGACGAGTATTGCATCACCAGTGTTTTACTGTCCTCTCCGAATCTGTTAGTAGCTGTGCACCTGTACTGTCTGAAGTCGCTGTGCATAATGTTGTCTATAAAAAGCACCATGGCTATTCCTCTACGTGAAGTCATCTGGTTTGCTGAATACCTAGCTCAGTACAAAAAGAACCATCATTACCTTCAGTAAATTGACTGCATTAAACGTTTTTTCCAGCTCCCAACCTTTCTTAAGAAGACAAATGAATGGCTAGAAAAGCGTATCCTTTTGCCTACCAACATCTGTAAAGTGTGTCATAAGCAGTTAAAGTTTAGTAAGTAAGCAGATACGATAGTAGGTAAGAACAAACCTGTCTTTTGTGCTGTTGCTCCAGAGAATGGTCCCGTTTCCATCTGATGAAGTCCATGACCAGTAGGACCCGTTGACGGGAGGGTCTGCCTCCACATCGCACCTCAGTTCTGCTCCAGATCCAACTTTTCCATACACTATGTCAGTGCCGGGGAGGATGACTGGTTTTCCTACGAAGGAAGATATTATATAGTAAAGAGTTATTTCTAGTGAGGGACCGTGAATTGTTCAAAGTCCAAGGCCATGGAATTGACCACTTTTGGTGGTTTTGGATATACCTGGATAAAGGCAATAGCACCTGCATTGAGCAAAGTCAGCAAAATGGTGATCAGGATATGTAGGTAAAGAATATCAAACCAGTCTATTAATCTGTCTACAGATTTTCTTGTTAAACAAGTGGTTGTATGTGACTACAGAACTTTGCCATTCAGTTCTTGTTTATCTTTGAAAGTACCTAACCGTGGACGTAGCTCATACCTGTGGCGTCGGGTGGTGTAGTGGTTAGAGCAATCGACCATGAACCGGGGAGACCCGGGTTCGATTCCGGGTCGTACCCGGGACATGTCTGAACATGCGCCCCGACGTTGTGCCCTTGGGAAAGGCACTTTACACGAATTTCCTCACTCCACCCAGGTGTGAATGGGTACCTAACTTCGGTTGGGGAAAGTCGTATTGAGGTCACCTTGTGGCGCCGAATGGCAGCCGCACAGACCCTTGCGACAGTTCCACAAAAATAATTGTGGAACAAATATGTGTATCGTGTGTATTATTTGATTGTTGTGATTTGTTGTGATTTGTATTATGTGATACCCTGCATCAATTCAGCCGCTAAAGGCTGCGACTGCACGGGTACTGTTTGGACAATAAAACCATTCTTTTTTATACCTGTTACTTCTATAAAGACCTCCCTTTGGTCAAGCCGATCTCTGAACCTCGGGGACCCGGCGATGCAGATGTATTTACCAGCCATGGAGTAGCTCACGACAGGTATTACCAGTGGGTTGAACAGTCGCTGGTAGCCGTCACTGCCGTTTAACCAAATGATGGTAGGCGCTGGGTTCCCTTCGGCGACACATGCAAGACGTAGACTCGACCCGACTTTTACTATCTTTTGCTTGACATTGGTCAATATTTTAGGTGGGTCTGCAACAAATTAAATGAAGTAATCAAAATTACTTTGCAAAGAACTGACGCGTGGTACACTGCTTCCTTGTTCACACTAAGTACCTTATACCTAGATTGAAATGCCATGCTTTTTGATAATTTTTACCACAAGAATCTGGTATATCAATTGCCCTTGTCCATTGGCACTGATAAGGAGCTGCAGTGATATTGTGATGAGATAGGTGGCGCTATGTAACCACTGGCACTATATGAAGGTACCAATGTCATGAATTAGATGAATAATAAATTAAATCATCTTACACAAAACCTCCACTTTTGTCATGTTCGTTGTAGTTGCTACCGTGTTCGAGGCAGTGCAAGAGTAGGTCCCATTTTGGTATCTTGTGATGTTACTGATTCCAAACGCAAGCTTGTTTCCAGGTGATGGAACGTTCCTAGGTACCCTCCATGTTACGGTTGCTGTCGGGTTACTATCTACTTTGCATGAGATCATAACATTTTCTCCCTCGGTAACTTGTACTGAAGCGCCATCGACTGTCACATTAGGAGACGTCACCGCGATTGTTAACATGGGAGCATCTGCATTAGGGAAAAGTGTCTCACTTTAGATAGCAAAATTGTACAATCATAAACGGTATGATATGAAATGATATGAAATGATATGATATGATATGATATGATATGATACCAGGTCAAGTCAGAATTATTGTAGTACATGTACATCCATTCAGTGCAAAAGAAAGAGACTACAATCGTTGCGAATTTAAGGTATTCTTGGGGCATTCCTGTATATGACACAAGCAATTAAGCTGTCTTGTTACAGAAAAGGCTGCCACAGCCTGCTTGAAACTTATACGACATCAACAACGTACGACGGCTTTCCACGATTGTGACCACTCTTCTAGCGCTAGCCCGTGCCCGGTGTAAAGTCGGCAGTGTAAACGATGCAGCTGAATGCCCATTGTATGATGAGAAGAACCCAATGACATCCTTCATTGTTGGCTTGGACTTTGAAACCTTAGAAACAACACGTACGTAATACGAATACTCACAATGTACGTCTAAAGTCAATGGTGGTGTTGACTGTGACGGAAGGAGATCAGAATGTTCCTCTTGTGTCGCAGTGCAGGTGACAGTCTTGCCGTGGTGATCCCGTCTCAGTGAGATGTCGACATTGTGTCCAGATCTGGCGACAGATGACGCCTCTGAAATAGCTGGATCCAGTGTCCATGATAACGTTGGTGGAGGTTTTCCTCCTTGGCTACTGCAGGAGAGTCTAAGAGTCGTCCCAGCAAGTACAGGACCACTGTAGCCACTGATGATAGGAGCTCCAGCTTTACCTTAGACAAGCGAAATATGTTCAACTGCCATTAATTCCATTAAAAGTATCTTTAATAAATAAATTGTTAAATCTTACAAAATTGCCAGATGTGTACATGTACGTGTATAATAAAGATTATTGACAATGTCCTGATTCACCCAAAGCCAACATATTATCAACGCTTTGAAGATGTACCCTCAATTGATTTAGAGTAACATACCACATGAGCAATGACGGTCCAATGTTGCATCATACTTCATGGGCCTTACTTCAGTACAAACATCACCATTGATTTGTTCAAAGGAGGTATGTCATTAAATGACTCAACTAAATGAACTAGACGGTGGCTATACTCTCCTGGTCAAATATTGTAGGGCTACCTACATTCTGTCAACTGTTGGCCAATCATGACTCCATGCCACCTAAACGTTGAGACAACCCCCCTCCCCATGTAATCTGAGTAGCTCACCCACCATGTCACAGAGGTGAGCTTATTGTGCTTTTATTGACCTCCCAGGGACTTCAAATGTCGTAAACAGTCCCAATGAACCTCGCGCGGTGATCCTCGAGGGCATTTTAAACTTCTTTTTACCCGCAGGTTTATGTTTAATGATCGTTTTTACTACAAGATTTTTCCAAAGAAAGCATTGAGCAGGGTTCTACGACCAACCATCCACAGGTCTCTACTAGGTGTTTTTGGTAAACACTGGCGATGTTACGCTTGACGTTCACGAAGGAATTGTTTACTGTGTTAATGGGACTGCTTTGAGTTAAAACCCCTCGTGAACGGTCTGTATCTTCAATATGGTATCAGTATTTTGGTATCAGTATTTCTATATCAACTACCCCCGGTGTTTTCACGTTCTTGTGAGCTATCTACAAATACCACAACTTCTGGTAGGACCATAAAACCGTTAAAAGGCAATCATAACACCTTACGATAAACAATAGTATTAAGGTCACTTACTGAGAACTGTCAGGTCGGCTTCTGCAGGATCGTCTCGGAGCTGCGTTTGCCAACATCGAAACGTGCCCTCGTCTTCTTCTTGGACGGGGTCGATGTGTAGATTGAAGTGGCCATGGAGCTGTCTCCCAGTCACAGAATATCTCTCGTGCCCAACATGTATGCCCTCTGTTATCAGACGATAATGTGGTGGCCCAAACCATTTCACTGACGTCTCTGTCTCAACATTGATAAGTCTACAGTACAGGGTGGCGTTTCGTCCAGATACCGCAAAGGTGTCGGTCGGACGCACGGCATAGTAAATGCTCCTGGACAATATGGTTCTTCCAATAGCACGTCTATACCCTTGAGAGACACGGGCACTTTCATCGCACAAACATGTGAGTGCAGCCAGGAGTAACAGCAAAATTCCACGAGTTGATGGCACGTTTCTTCGTACGTGAGCTACAGGCATCGTTGTTTTGTACGTTTCTTTGCTTGATTGGAAGAATCAGTACTTTAGGCCATATCGACTTGCCCCGACATAGGACAAATCCACATGGATTACAGCAGTTCCACCTTTTAACTCTTCCAAGTTCCCAGTGTACACGTTCTGCAGTAATTACCTGTTGTTGTTGATTAACGGTTGTTATCCCGACGATCAGCGCCGACTTGAATCGAAAAGATGCGCATTTTCATTGGAATGATCTCAAGATCTGCAGACCTCCAAGCGAAGCAATGACTATGCGGCCTAGACTTGACTTGAAAAGAAGGCAGAACAACACGCTGTGGTCAATAATGAAAGTAAATACTGAGGCCCTGGAAGTTTGCCAACATTTTAATGGTCATTTGTTCTTACACGAAACTACGTAATCTTAAAACCACAGAGTGTTCATTGGGTTTTTATGTTTGGAGTTGACAGTATTGAATCTCACAAAGACAAAGAAGTCCGATATACAGTAGACGAAGATATGATGGCAAGCGAAACGAACGCTGATAGTCTACATGTCTCACCCACTACTACTACAAACCGCAAAACATGTAAACGATATGTACTCACAGTAAAAAGATACACGTAGCAGTAGTATACGTACAATCGCAAAACTACCATAGCTATGACTGATGTTTGACATATTAAGTTCTCATGTCGGGGGGCATGAGATTCTGATTGGCGGTCAGTTTCCCGCCATAACTTAGTTGTTCCCCTCTGACAAACAACGTCATTGTGAATGGTCGCTGAACAAAAGAAACAAAATGTTGGTAATTTTTCAGGTGCAGAGACATCAGCTTTCCTCCAGGTATGAGCAACAGCGAAGATATTCTCTTGAAAAAGAATGACGTCTTATGATAACAGTTCATTGCACCTTTCTGATCTTCATAGCATATCTTAAAATGGACAGCGAGCCTTTCTTAACTTCCCCTTTTTATAGTCCAAGTATAATCTCAGACATTTATGCTATCAAATGTAGTTCATATAGTTACTCGCGGAGACAACGAAATACTATATCTTCCTATAACCCCCTTCATCTTCCCACCTCACCTGAATAGCAATGTAGTCTCTTGTGAACACACCTACCTTTCGGGATTCAGCTAACCATCAAACCACAAGCTCGCCACGCTCGCTTGTCTCTGTGAGAGTTACATCATCGGTCTAATTATACACCAGAAACACGTGCCTACTACATACAATGGTCCTGAGGTGAGAAACAAAAAAGGAAGTACCTGTACTTCTTTCACCTTCACGTTGTCTCTAGTCATGATGGAGCGGCTGGACACTGTCTGGCCAGTTGAATACTGCCTTGCCGGCGGTTGGTTACGAGTTTGCCACCGAGGGATCTGCTTTGAGCTTTCTTGTCCCATCCTCGTATACGTACGTATTGAGGGTCGGGTCAGGGACTTAAGTTGCATCCAGCATCGGCCTTCGGTATTCACCCGTGATCTTTCTTGCATTCCATGGACAGAGACCTCGTTGTGCTGACGAATTATGTATACAACTTCCTTCTAATTTACGAGCTGTCTCTCGCTTAGCAATTTTGTTCGTGGTCTTCTTCTGTATGACATCTAATTTATGTGAAACGTAAATATAAATATTATAGCAGTCGTTATAACGTTTCTGCGTATCAAGTGGAGTACATTCCGAGCAATAGCAATCTCAGGTTTTCGCTTATTTCGCACGATACACGACAATGCGCATGTTCCTCATTTTTGGTTTTGTTTTCAGTAGCGTTTGTACTAGCGTGTTAGCTAGTTTGTGGTTATGCAGCATAATTCAAGAAGCTATGTATGGATTGCTATGAAATTTGGTGTGTGGTAAAGTCTTGGCTGATCAAAGAAGGGCACAACTCGTTTTCCAACTCGTGTTCCGGACAACCTATTGTTATGATTTTTGGGTGGCAGCTGGCTCATCAAAATGATTTGACAGAAGTTTGAGCGCTCTAGCATCTTTCTCTGGAACTGCCGGGCGCTTCGGTTGCAGATTTTGAAACACCAAGAAGAGATATTTCCTGGCGAAGGTAAGCGGTCTTCCATCTCTAGTTACCCTTTAAACGGATACTCGGAACAAAAGATGGTGCGCAAATTTCCCTGCCAACACAGTACTAGTGTTTATCACGATTTTGGCTACTCACCCACGAAATCAGGATCCGGGTTGGAGCACGAAGTTATAGATAGACTATGGGCTAGGCAAGTTTACTGGGATATAGTGTTGCTCCGACCACAAGGGGACCGCCTGACTCCCGAGTGGGTGGGCAACACTATCTAAGTAAACTTGCCTGGCCCATGGTCTATCTGACTTAGAACATGGCCATTTCCCCAAAGTTTTCTTTCAAACTTGTTCAATATCAGTTTTTCTTGTTCAATTTTAGTTTGTCTTGTTCAATATCAGTTTCAATGCAGTATTTGTCTTTGAGAAAGCTGGCCTGTTTGTGTTTCAATCTGCCTGTCCCTTGGGTGATTAGTGTACACAGAGGGGGGATCTGGATTAAATTCTATATCCCTACAGTTAGAGCTGTGTACCTAAACAAATTTTAGGTACAGGTACAGGTACAGGTACACAGGTTTAGGTACAGGTCCGGACCTGAACCTGTACCTGAACAATTCGACCAATTTATATGCTCTTCTGAACTCCTTCAATGACAAAAAAACATTAATAAACTTGTTAGTTAAGGTTTATTCTTTGTTTATGGCGAATGCTCAGATAAAATATAGGCAAAACTAAAGATGTTTTTGTTTTCATGAACACACTGTCCTTACACAGGGACCCATTTGAGGTCACAAATAGGCATAAAATTGGTGTGAAATTGTTTAGGTACAGTACCGGTACTGAGGGATTAGGTATTTTGGACCTGTACCTAATCAATTTTTCCGGTACAGTATCGGTACTGCGTACCGGTACACAGCTCTACCTACAGTGCAAAAAAAGTGTGATACTATCCCAAAAAGTGTGGTACTAACTAAAAAGTGTGGTACTAATTTTATGCAAATGAGTTTTAGTACCACACTTTTTGGATAGTACCACACTTGTTTTGCACTATGGGGATATAGACACAGAAAATGAAGGGCTCTCATTGGCTGAGGGGTAGTGGCCATGTAGTATGATGTAATGTCTGACATCTGCCTCAAAAGGTCAGCTCTAAAATGGGTGGGAGGTTCGTGTTTCATTCCCCTCAAGATAAAGTTAACCAACCAAAGGATCTTTGGCGAAAGTTTTGTTTTTATTGTTTCGCTTCAATAGTAATCATAGACGCCCCGTCAAAGGTTGAGGCAAAGCAGGCACTGGAGGACCTTTGTGTTCAAGACAAAAGCTTTTGTGCTCAGTGTGACAACTTCGACGTAACTTACTTATACGTTGATCGTTTCCTGGTGCAATTCTCTAGGTAAGGTAACTTTTTCATTTGACCGATTCACTGATTTCATTTTAGGTTTCTCTTGAACACAGTCCCCACCAAAATCTTACGTGACTAAAAAGTGCCCGGAGCATCTGAAATTTAGTTGGACGCCTCAAAGACACCGACAAGTACAACGTTTCCAATTGATTCATGCTGTTGCCATTTACAGAATACGTCTGACTGAGTCCACGCCGGAATGCACACTATATCCATTTGCCTGTTCTTCCTCGCATGCTCAGCGATTGTGGGTAAGGCTCTCTGTTCTCTATTTATTCCCCAGGACTTGTGCTCACATGAATAGCATGACACACTATGATACAGAATGTCTTATTTCAAAAGTTGTCCCTTATGGA